CCCCCTCCCCTCCTTTTAACTGTTTCTCCTTCTTCCTTTTCTGCTGTGATTTCTATGTCTTCCTTCCTTCTTGCATATACTCGTCAGCTCACTCTTTCTGGCCCACTGTTCTCTTCAGATGGGCTAATACACAAAACACATACCTTTGTCCACTTCCTCCTCTTGTTCCCCCCTTTTATTCCTTCCATGCTAGACTTTTGTTATAATGGGTATCTATCAACTACCTCAATCCTCCTCCCCATCCCATCTTCCAAGGTTGTCAAAATTGAGAGTTTACGTAAACTTGTTAAGAGCCCATAAACTCGAATTGTAAACTCGTAAAAGTTTACTTAATATAAAAATATGTAAAAATACTAATAAATAACATAATTACTCAACATTTCAACTCCATATTTCTCGAAGCATAAATATCATAATACTTATAAATAACATAATATATAATCTATTTCCTAGAGCATTTTTTGCTTTTAGCAACAGAGGTGGCAACTACGTTACCGGATGAATTTGATCCAGTCCCAGACATGATCTTTAACAAATATTAACTATTATAGTATAAGTGTATTTTTGGATTGAATAAAAAAAAATGGGACACGAAGAAGAGAGAAAAATACGCAGAAGGGAAATGGGAAGGAACCTTTACCATGAAAACCCTGGAAACACTACAACACGACAAGAACGACCCCGAAACAGGGGGCGACCGGAGAACAGCAATGCCTACCAGCGACAAGCCAGCCACAAAGAATGCGACCCTGACCAGAGCTCACAGCAAAGAAATCCCAGTGCCCAGCTCTCCAACAAAAGCAAGCAAGTGATGCAGCAACCCTGACTAGAGAAAGCAAAAGCAAGCAAGCGACGTAGCAACGCCGATGAAACCCCAGTGCGCACTCTCAGTGTCGTTCAGCAGTTGAGATCAAGTTATGGGGGTTCAAAGCGTTCAAAAAATGAGAAGAAAACAAAACCTAAAGAGAAATGCAACTCTCGGTGTTGTTTTGGGGGTTTTCTTAGTGAGCCACATAGACACGCAAAATCACTGGAAACTTGCAATTTTGGCCGAGTTTGTGCAATTTTGCTCGAGTTTACCGAAAAAAGAGTTTGTATATGAGTTGAACAGGTTGGGCTTCCCAAACTTGTAAACTTGGTAGGTTTTACAAGTTAACACTCAATTTTGACAACCATCCCCCTTCCCTTCCCTTCCCCAAAAGAAGGGAGAAAAACAGGCAACCTCAAGTAGAAAAGCATTAATGCATAATTTTGGGCCTTATGTCCAAAACAGTTTGTGAGCATCATCACTCATCATAATAGACACACACGCACAAAAATCAAATTAAAACCACATTAGAATCTTATATAGCACCATTTGGCATCACCTGTAGAGGAGTTACCTGTGATTGTCGGTAAATGACAAATCTATTCCATATAAATAGAATTCATAATATAGTAGCACAATAAATGCTAATAAAAAACAACACTCTGGAAGTTGAACATCAAATGGTTACACTTACTTTCCAAGAACTATCAACAGCGGGGAACAAGTTTGCATCACTTTGAGGACCTCCTAAAAGCCAAGCATAACAATTAGTAAAATCTTGGCAACAGCATGCAGAGAACTTATTTCACAAGATTAAACACATCTCAATGGAATCTACTGACTGGCTGGGTTTCATACTTGGCCATAAAATTAAATACTCTCTTCAATTCAAATTATTTGTCATTTAAGCCAATGCATACATCATAAGAAAAATATTAATTGCACTAATTACTATGTCAAAATAGTCTTCTTTAACTAAAATACCCTGACTAAAAGTGTTGGTGTATCCTTCTTAATTAATAATGCTTTTAGATATAAACCAAAAAGTAATTGAATTGTAGGGAAAAAATTAATGTTTTATTGACTTTCCAAAGCAACATTTTGAAAAGAACCAAAACTCCTAAAGCTGCAGATAATTTGAAATAGAGGAAGTACCAATGTACCACCGGCCTCTTCCCTCACCTCACGCTCCAAAACAGAAAATACTCTCTCTCTCTCTCTCTCTGACAATAACATAACACATCGTATCTTCAATCTCTCAACAATAAGTCAATTACAGCACAAACTTTGGAAAAAAATGAACTATAATCATTACCATCGACCATTCAACCTACATGGACATTGCTTTGACTTGGTAGTTGACAGAAATTTTGCTACTTTAAAAGTAAAAAACAAAGGAATACAACATGATATTTCCAAATTCATATCCATAGTACCTGATATCGAATCAATAGCTAATAAATCATAATCTGAAACAACTCCAACCTGCAGCACCAAAAAGGAAAAAGAAGAAAAAAGGTCCAATGAGTATTTGAATCCGGTCCAAAATAGAAAACAGATATACTAAACATAAAAAATACATAATAAAGCAAAATAAAAGTAAAGGAAATTAAACAATTACCAGATTCCAGTCGTCATCGATTACCGGAAGACCACTGATTCTGTTGTTTACAAGAGCCTCCAGAGCTGTAAATAGATTCACATAAACAAATAAGAACAGTAAACCGCATAATAAGAGTGAAGAAAATTGGGTTACCTTCATCAACGGTGGTGGTGGTTTTGACAACAAGCAAATCATGCTTCTTTGTCATGAAATCAGCAACCGCATACGTTCCATTCTCGCGCTGAAGAAGAAATCGCAACCGGCGTGAGAAAAAGTTAAAAAGGAACACGGTAGCGTGAGAAAGACGCTTGATCCAAAGAAAATAAGACTTACTGGAACCGAATTCACGGTTGAACCGGAAGCGAGGCGGAACCCGGAGGAGGGAGAGGAACGACGCCGTTTCGGGACTGCGGAAGAACGGATAAGAGAGTGGCATTGCGGAAAAAGGGACGGAGGAGAGAAAGAACGAAGTGGAGCAGCGAGTGTGTTAATCAAATGAACCGAACTCATTTCTTTTTTCTTTTCTTTTCTATACTAAGTAAGAATATAAATAATTTCACTTTTTTTTTTTTTTTTTTTTTTTTTTTTTTCTTAGG